GAGTCAAACCCCAGGGACAAATATGACCTGGCGATGTAAGCCTATCATCCCAGCTACTCTGCAGACAGAGGCAGGAAATTCAAAGTTCAAGACAACCGTGGACAACTTAGTAAGAACTTGTCTCAAAATAAAAAATGAAAAGAGGCTCGAGGGTGTGGCTCAGTGGTAGAGCACCTGCCTAGAATCCCCCAGTGAGGGGCTGGGGTGTGTCTCAGTGACAGAGCACCTGCCTACAATTCCCCAGTGAGGGGTTGGGGTGTGTCTCAGTGATACAGTGCTTACTTATCAAGTATAAAGCCCTAGGTTTGATCCCGGGTACCACAGAGGTACACTCCCTCTGCCTGCATGCCTGGCAGCTCTGGGTGGTTCTCCACCCAAGGATCAAACAGAACGTATCAAGACCAGCTATATGAGCAGACACTTTCCAAACAGTAACTGAAAGTATCGAAGGTCTGAAGACATACTTCTAACAACCGCTGGGCTGGATTCTGGTTTCCCTCCTGTGTGGGAGATGCCTAGGAGAGTGTGTGGTGTGTGCAAACGTCACCCATATGGCTGTCACTGTCATCTATCCTGAGAGTGGAGTAGAAGGCAGCTGAGGATGGGGCTGCTTTGGGAATCAGTGTGGGCATCAACAAGGGACAAAACTGCCAAGCCTAGAGTTACCAGAGCTTGCTGAAGGTGGGCAATGGTTAAGTCGATGAAATTCTGATGCAAAACAGACTAACAAAACAAAAAACGGCACTGAAAAACTGCCATTATTTCCAAATCACTAATGAATTTTTCAAGATAAAAATAGGGGGTTAAAAAATGGGAGCCTTGGGGCTGAAGAGAGGCTCTAGTGGTGATGTGCCAGCAAGCACGAGGGCGACTTCACATCCCCAGCTCCTAAGCAAAAGATGAAGAGAGGGAGCCGGGCGTTGGTGGCGCACGCCTTTAATCCAGCACTTGGGAGGCAGAGGCAGGAGGATCTCTGTGAGTTCGAGGCCAGCCTGGTCTACAGAGCGAGTTCCAGGACAGCCTCCAAAGCCACAGAGATACCCTGTCTCGAAAAAACAAAAACAAAAACAAAAAAGATGAAGAGAGGGCTCTAGTGGTGATGTGCCAGCAAGCACGAGGGCCTGACGTCAAGTCCCCAGCTCCTAAGCAAAAGATGAGTGCAGCGTCACATTCCAGTAATCCCAGTGCTGCAGAGGTGAGGCAAGAGGTTTCCAGGGCTTACTGGCTGTCAGATTAGGCAAGCCAGCAGGCTCCAGTTCAGTAAGAGACCCTATCTCAAAATATAGGATGGAGAGTGATAAAGGATGGTACTTTGATATTAGAGACCACCTCTGATCCCAATATGCGTGCACACACACGCACACGCACGCGCACACGCGCGCGCACACACACACACACACACACACACACAGTATAGCTACAACAGCCTTGCTCTGAACTCACTGGAGTATTGGGATTATTTTAATGTCAACATGCTTAAACACCACTCTAATCCAGAACTTGGCAACATTCTGTCCTATGCATGAGACCATTTCTTTTGGAATTCCCTATAGTCAAAAACAACAGGAGACCTCCCAGAACTGCTCAGCTGGTCTGCTGACAGGCTTTTCCGAAGCAGGACAGACATGACATCCATTTGCCAGTTTTCCTTACACACACTGGTTATGGACTCTGCAGACATGGACTGTGCTCAGAAACAACCCTCAAGTCAAATATGCACAGCTGGCCTGCAGAGATGGCTCAGTTGGTGTTTGCCTCACAGACATGAGACCTGAGTTTGATTCTTAGAAGTCACTTAAAGCTGGGCTGTGGTGGCACACGTCTTTAATCCCAGTACTCAGGATGCAGAGGCAGGCAGATCTCTATGAGTTCAAGGGCAGCCTGGTCTCCACAGTGAGTTCTGGGACAGCCAGGAGTGTTTCACAGAGAAACTGTCTTGAAAAACAAAACAAAACAAAGCAAATAAACAAACAAAAAAGTCACATTTAAAAAAAATCCCGTTGGTATGGGATCATAATTCCAGCATGGAGGAGGCAGGAAGAAGGATAACCTTGGGATTTACTAGCTACCCAACCTAGACATTTAGATTAGGTGAAACACCCTGTTACAATGAAGAAGGTGAAGGACAAATGAAGACATCCAAAGTTGACTTCCAGTCTCCACACACACACACACACAGAGAGAGAGAGAGAGAGAGAGAGAGAGAGAGAGAGAGAGAGAGAGAGAGAGAGAGAGAGAGAGAGAGAGAGAGAGAGTGCACAGGGCACTCTGTGCTCATCTAAAGCGTTCTAGAGCTCGGTGGTAAAGCACTTCCCTGCCAGCTAAGCCACCATGCTCAGACACGTACCTACTACACATGCCAGCTCCTGAGAGACAGATTTCCAGGCACTGCACACACCAACATAATTTCAAAAATACCAGCCTTGGCCTATTCAGTAGATGAGCAGGACCCTGTGGTTTGAAACTTTGCCCACAGTAGAGAAGACAATTCTGTGTGAAAGAAACCCTTTTATTCAAAAGGCAGAGAGCAGGGCTGGGAAGAACTCGGCGAGTAAGACTTGCACTTGCTGCAGAGGCATGAGGATATAAGTTTGAATCCCCAACACCCATATAAAAAGCCAGGTATGATTTCCTGTGATGCTGCAACCCCAGTGCTATGGGGATGGAGACAGGATCACTGGCTGCCAATCTAGCTCCAGGTTCAGCTGGAGACTCTCCCTCAAGAAATACGGTAGAGAGTGACAGAGCAAGATACCCAGTGGCTTCTTCCTCTGGCTCCCGCACGTGTAGCCCCATCCCTAACAATATAGTAAGCTAGATTCTAGCAGGGGTAGTTGGGACAAGAACCCTAAGAAGATGACTGTGGGTTGAGGTGTTCCCAGAATCTGAGTTACAGGAAAGTGCTAAAAACTTGGAGAGAGTGGTCACCTGTCATTTTCTCAGGCCCTCAAATGCCTTCAGTGACCCATTGACTGAACAACTGTCCCTCCAGGCAATCTGGCTTTATTTTCTTTCAGTGATGGGAATGGAACCCAGAGTCTCACTAGGGAATTGTTCTACCTCCCGGCTGCAGTCCAGCCCATGTACACTCCACAGGGACACCGCTTTCAGGTTTGGGAAAAGAAGGTGGCATTCCCTCTCACACCCTAATAAGATGAGTCACTGTCGCCATTCAAAGTTACTCAGTATGGAATCTATAACACATTTGGACCCTGGGAAGGCAGACATGCACAATGAGTGCTTCAGACCTGGGAACGACCCCAGCAAAAACTCAACATGCAGTGTGCTCATGAATGTGAGTAAGAAACACACACCTAGCGTGAACCTTGTCAATGGAACACTAGTGAGAGTTAGAAGCCATTACTGGATAGAAAAAGAAAGGGCTGGGAAGGAGGTAATTAACATGGCTTTTGCCTGGTTCATAGGTCTTAAGGTCCTGGACCTCTAGATGACAGAGGACTGGGAACAATGGGAGCTTGGAAGAGGATAAGGTAGGCATGGCGTTGAATATCACATAAGCAGTGTCCTGGGAGATGGGACAAGCTAGGGACCTGTATTTCCCACCATTGTTCTGGGGGTAAATAGAGGCACCACACTTCCTGTCCAGCTACTAGATTTAAAGTCTGTGCCTCCAGACATGCTCTTAAGGCATGGACTGTCCCTCAACACCCGAGGCAGCTCCCTGCACCATACACCTCCGAGGCAACACCTCCCAGGCAGGAGTAGGGCAGCTCATCAGTCCTTCCAGGTCCAGGGCAAGAGAGTGAACACTGGGGTCCTGACCTATGGGAGCCAAAGACAGGAGTGCACCAAGATTATTCAGACCACAGGGTCAGAAGTGGCCCTGGTGGTTCTGGCTAAACAGAATCAGGGTTGAGGGCCATGGGTGGGAGGAGGAGTTATGGTCAATCAGGCTGGGTGGGATCTCATGGCTGCCAGGGGCTTAGGTAAGAGGGGAAGTGTTTCAGGGCTGGAAGAGTCTGGGGGGGCCCTGAGAGTCCAGAGTGGTGAAGATGGAGGTCAGGGTGAGCTGATGGTCTTAAGTCAGATTTAGGCAGGGTGAGAAAGGGTTAGAGGTGGCCCTAGGGCTTTCATGTTAAGTTAAATCAGGGGTAACTGCTCCTAGTTGGTAAGATAAGAGTCAAGAGCAACCTCAGGTATTGAGGACAGGTGGGATTAGGGGTGACCTGGGTTCAGAAAGTGAGGAATGGAGAACATGGGCAACCAGCTCCTGCATAGGAGGGGTGGGGGCCAGATGGAGTAGGGGAGAGAGATACAGACAGACAGACACACACACACACAAAGACAGAGAGAGAGAGAGAGGGAGGGAGGGAGGGAGGGAGGGAGGGAGGGAGGGAGGGAGGGAGGGAGGGGAAGGGGTTAGAGTGAACCCCAGTGTTTAGGCCTGTCCAGGTTCGGGATGACAGAGGGTTGGTTTCAGGTTGACTAGGTTCTGGGTTTGGCCCTATCAGTCAGTCAGAGCCCACCCAGGGATCAAAGCCCAGTGAGGTAACAGGGGGATCAGGCTTAGGTGGGTCGTGATTAAGATCACAGTAATCACCGGGTCAGAGCCAGGTGAAGGTCGAGATCACCAGTAACTTAGGAATCAGGCTTAGATGGGTGGAGAAACGGAGTAACGAGGGTCTCGGAGCTAGGTGGGATCGAGGTCAGTTAGAGCTAGGTGGGGTCAAGACTGGGAGATGACTAGGTAATCAGAGACGGGTGGAGTCGAGATTGGAGGGACTAGTGCCAGGCAGGGTCGAGATGGGGTCGAGAATGACCAGGGGCTAGGACCCAGCAAAAACGAGACGGGATGAGAGACAACCCAGAGGCCAGGCCAGGAGGAGTCGAGCTCAGGGGATGACCAAGGGGTTCAGGCCCGACAGGGTCGAGATCAGGGGGTGACAAGGGACCTGGCTGGGTGGGGTCGAGATCAGCGGGTGGCCAGGAGGGTCAGGCCAGATCCGGAGAAGGATGACCCGGGGTGGAGCCGCACTTACTGTTGGGGCAGCTGAAGGGCTGGCGCTCCCCGCCTCTGGAAGGCTCCGTCCACGAAGACACCGTTCTTACCCAGGCAGCGCAGATAGAAGTGAGGCTCCTGGAAGCTGAGCTGCAGGTGGCGCCGGGAGATGAAGCTCGACAGGCCCATGTTTAGGTCCACCGAGCCCTGCGACGAGTTGCGGCCGATGGTGACGCTGGGCTGTCGCATCAGGAACTCGAACTCCCGGCCCTCCAGGCGCGCTAGAGCCGGCCCAGGGCTCTGGCGCACGGAGGCAGCGGCCGCGGCCACCAAGGCGGGCGCGGCGGTGGTGGCAGTGGCGGCGGTGGAGGGCACCGGGCCGGGGCCGGGCACGGCGGGCAGGGCGGGCGGCCCGGGCGGAGGCTGTGTCGGCGGCGGCGGGGACGCGGTGGCCGGGAAGGCGGCGGCCGCGGCCGCGGCACACAGCACGGGGCTGCAGGGAGCCGAGCGCAGCGCCAGCAAGGCGCGGGCGCCGCTGTCCTCGCCGACTTCGGCCATGTTCGCGCAGCTCCGAGCGGCTCCGGCGGCGGCCGAGGCGGCGCGGGGCGGAGCGGGGCGGGGCGGCGCGCGCGGAAACCTGGTCTGGATTACAGCGCGGAACGGAGCCGGGGCGCTGCAGGACCCCTGTCGCTGCGCGCGCAGCTTCCACCTCGGGGTGGGCGGATGCAGAGAGGCTGAAAGCCAAAGAGCCCCCTCCTCCCGCCCCGAAGTGCGTGCGATGGTGCTTGACTCACCACGTTTTTAGGAGTGTCCTACTGGGGCTGCAGGTCAAAGTTGCCCAAGGATGCTTGTGATGTCTTAGCTCTTTGCGAATCGCTTCTGTACGGCTGTTCTTTTTTATGTTTCTTTTTTTTTAAATAATGTTGCAAATTACATTTTATTCACTCATGTATTTACTTTTGGTTCTTCCCCATACCTGGTGTGTGTGTGTGTATGTGTGTGTGTTCGCGAGCTCGCAGATTAGAGGAGACAACTTTCAGGAGTCTATTCTCTCTCTCCTACCCTGTGAGTTCTGAGAATGGGATTCAGATCGAGCTTGGTGACAAGCTCCTTTACTTACTGAGCCATCTTGCTGGCCCCTGTTTTGTTGTTGTTTGAGACACTGTCTCATACCCAAGCTGGCCTGATTTGGCTACCTAGACCAGGCTGGATACAAATTCATGATTTTCCTTCTCTATCCTCCTGGCTATTACAGGTGTGTGCCACCAAGCCTACCCCTTTTAATTAATTAATTAATTTTTCATAGAGGGTCTCTTGCTATGTAGCTCAGACTGGCTTCCAACTGGCAACCCTCCTGGTTTAGGCTCCCAGATTCTTGCTGGAGTCCCAGGTGTACACCACCACACCTGACTTTCCTTGTCCCTTTTAAGGTGAACAGCTCTGCAGGTTCCTAGAGACTGGATACCCGGGAGATGAACTGTAGTTGAAAACATTTAAATGGTGAGTTTGGCAGCATGTGTATCCCTTGAGAACTTACAGGCCCTGCACTGGGATGCTAATTCAGCCAAGTCTTCCTCCATGAACACACGTGAGCGAGCGCGCCTGTGAAGGAGCTGGCTGAGTTGGTAAAATGTCTAATTCATTCATTCTCCAGGGCTGGAGTTCATTCCCCAGCACCGACTTCAAAAGCCATTGAGAGCTTCTATAATCCCAGCACTTTAGGGTGGAGGCAGACAGATCACTGAAGTTCATTGGCCAGTCTGCCTAGCCAATCAGAGAGCTCCACATTCATAGTAAAACACTGTCTCAAAACAAAAACAAAAACAAAGCCAAGCGGTAGAGCCGGTCTGTAGTGGCACACGCCTTTAATTCCAGTACTTGGGAGGCAGAAGCAGGTGGATCTCCCTTAATCTGAGGCCAGCCTGGTGTACAAAGGAGTTCCAGGACAGCTCTGTTAGACAGAGAAACTCTGTCTTGAAAAACCAAACAAACCAACAAAAAAGGACACACTTGTGCACTCATGTGCATACACATACACAAACGGGAGCATGATCTCGAAAACATTCATACATACACACACAAAAGAATTTTTAAAAACAATAATCATGAGAATAGAGACGTAGGTTCTGTCCTCAGTGGACTTCAGGACTAACGAAGATACAGATATGAAATAAGACCCATAATATCTAGTGTACTGCTCACAGCCATGCAGGGTGTGTGTTGACAGGGTGCATGTGTGGAGTGCATGGCAGAGTGTGGGGGAGATTGGTCTTGCTTATGATCAGAAGCTTCCCTACCTACCCAAGTGCCATTCTGGACTCAAACAGGAGAGCAGTCACCCAGTTATAATGCAGTGGTTCCCAGCCTTCCTAATGCTGTGCCCCTTTAACACAGTTCCTCATGTTGTGGTGGCTCCCAACCAAAAACATTATTTCAATGCTACTTCATAACTGTAATTTTTGCTACTGTTATGAATTGTAATGAACATATCTGATAAGTAGGCTCAAGAGGGTCTCGACCCACAGGTTGAGAACCCCTGTTAGAAAGGCTACAACTAAGGGACTGGAGAGATGGCTCAAAGGTTAAGGAAAGCTACCACTAGAGATAAGAATGTTTGACAGGCAGGGAACAGAGGTTTTGGTTTTGATGTGGGTTTCGTTTTGTTTTAGCTTGGTCTGTTGGGTTTGTTTGTTTGAGACCAAGTTTCTTGTTGTCCAGGCTAACCTCAAGCTTGCTCTACAGCTAAAGTTGAATTCCTGGTCCTCCTACCTCCACCTTCAAAAACTATCATGCCCTGCTCAGGTTTTCATTTCATATTTTTTCAGTACTAGAGTTGAGTCCAGGGCTTCGTGCATGCAAGTGCTTTGCCACTGAACATAAGTGCTCCATTCCTTTAATATAATATCTATCAGTCTGTCTGTTACGTGTGTTCAGGTCAGAGGGCAACTCTCCTTCCACCGTATGGGGCCTAGGGAGTAAAACTTGGGTCCTCAGCCTTGGTGGCAAGCCCCCTTACCCACCCAGCCATCTTGCTGCTTGTCGCCACTTCTTGTATTTTCCATTTTCAGGCAGGTTTCACCTAGTTCTCCACACGGGCCTTATTCTCACACTGTAACCCAGACAGACCTTGAACCCGAGATCATCCTGCCTCAGCCTTCTCAGTAGCTTGGTAGGATTACATGCCTGAGCCACCAGACCTGGCTCAGAGGCAAACTCTCTGAGGAACTGTGGCAAAAGAACCGGATCAAGAGGGAGCAGAGTGAGAGAGGCTGAGGAGCCTCTTCCCCAACTGAGGATTCTTGAAGCAGAGTTCAGAGAATGAACTAACACTGACTGGGGCTGGAGGCTAAGTGTGGGAGGACAGCTTCCAGCCAGGGAATGTACGTGCTAAACACTGGAAGTCCTGTGCCCAGGAGGGATGGACAGAAGGTCTCTGTGGCAGGGAAAAAGCACCCAGTTCATCTGAACTAGATGAGTAAGGACTGTGTTGAACCCTTGAGGATCTGTGTTGTACCCCAAGAGCACATCCACATGCTAGTAATGGAGTCACTCTGGATGCCATGGAGTTTGACTAAAATAGTGGTCAAAGTGGCTGTGGGAGGCTTATTAGGGAACTTCCAGACTAGGTAAACCAGATTTAAGGGAAAGCCAAGGGTCCAGACACACACACACACACACACACACACACACTCACACACATACACACACACTCGAGCGTGCGCGCGCGACCTGTAATCCCATTGCTCAGTAAGCAGACGTAGGGGAATCTCCCTAGAGTACAAAGTCAGCCCAAGCTACTTAGTGAGAGCCTGTCACAACCACAAAGTGCTTTCTGTAAATGCACAAAGACTGGAGTTTGACTCCTAGAACCCGGAGAGAGAAAGGAGACTGTGTGTGGCGTATGCTTGTAATCCCACCACTGGGATGGTGGAGACTAGGGGACGCCTGGGACTTGTTGGCCAGTCTAGCCTAGAGAGACCCTGTCTCATAGGAGGTGGACATCATTTCTGAGCGTGACACCTGAGGTTGTCTTTCTGTCTCCACATGCATGTGCACACACATACACCCATACATACATAATGTACCTGCACTCACATTCATGAAAACTCCAACATAGTATTACCATAGGACACTGAATACCATTTCTGGGCAAATCAAAACACCAAAAAAAAAAAACTGAAAGCAAGGTGTGAGAGAGATATTTTCATACAGTAAAGCTGTGTTTCTGACAACTTTACTCACAATAGTTAGAATGTGGAATGAGGTCAAGAATTCAAGCCAGGAACTGGTGGCACACACCTTTAATCCCAGTATTTGGGAGGCAGAAGCAGGTAGATCTCTGTGAGTTCAAGGCCAGCCTGGTCTACAGAGTAAATTCTAGGATAGCCAGGACTACACAGAGAAACCCTATCTTAATAAACAACCAAGAAAACAAACAAAAAACCCAAATAAACAAAAAAGAATTCCCACACATTTTACATATGTGTAAGGGAATATTATCCTGAAAAAGGAAGGGAAATGTGATAACCTGCTGCATCATGGATGAATCTTGACAACACAACATTGAGTGAAATAGCTAGATCTGACATAGGGCCTCATGTAGCCCAGGCTGGCCTGAATTTTACTATATAGCTGAGGATGACCTTAAACTTCTGGTCCTCCTGCCTCCATCTGTGAGTGCTAAGATTGCAGTATGTGTCACCACACTCAGTTAACACAGTGTTAGGGATGGAACCCAGGGCTTCCTGCATGCTAGACAAGAACTCTGCCAGCTGAGCCACATCCCAAGCTCCTACCTTTCCACTTATATGAAGTCCAAAGACTGGTCAAGTTCACAGAGGCTAAAAATAGAATGGTGGGAGCCAGGGCTTGGAACAGGGGAGTAGTGTTTTGGTGGGGACAGAACTTCTGTGTAGAAGGCTAGAGAGTTGAGATGGACGGTGTTGGTGGCTGCTGAGTGGTTTGTTGTTGTTTGCTGGCTATCTGGCTTTTCTTAGACAGGCTCTTACATTTGTAGTCCAGGCTAATCTGGAATTCCTCTTGTAGCTCAACTGGCCTTGAATTGGTGGTAACCCTTCTGCCTGTGTGCCCCCACCCCTGGGCTGGAATTACCCACCACTGTGCCTGATGGTTGCACCACAATGTGAATTTAAATTTTTGTGTGTGTGTGTGTGTGTGTGTATGTGTGTGTGTGGGTGGGGTGGGGAGTGATGTAGGTACGCTTGTGTATATAGGCATGTACCCCATACCACCCCCTCCAGAGGAAGAGGCTAAAGGACACTAGGGGTCCTTCTCTATTACTTTTTATTTTATTCCTTTAGACACTGAAATTGGAGCAGTTTTGGTGGCTAGCAAGCCCCAGCCATCTCCTGTCCCAGCACCCATAGCACTTGGGTGACAAGTGTGGTCCAGCCATGCCTAGATTTGGTGCTGGGGATTTGAACTCAGGACCTCATGCTTGTACAGCAAATGCTCTTACCCACCAAACCACCTCCCTAGTCCTAATGTGAATATTTCAGAGCCACAGAACCAGACACTTAGAAGTGACTAATATGGCATGTTTCTGTATATTT